AATATTCAATAGCGTATAATGTTATTACACAGTGTCTCTATCAACATTTTTGAAAAATTATATATATGTTATATATTTTTTAGCATTAAAAATTTGTGAGTAACATTAGACTGGTATTTGCACATATCTCAAAGAAAAGACATTCAGGGAGAGAGGATTAATATATTTAATATCCGAGAAAGATAAATATTAATAATCGACTTCACTTCATAATATTTCACACCTAACTAAATCACACGAAAGCTAATCGTTCATTAGCTTGACTAAAATACCATGGCAAAATGTATTGATACAAATCGAGATGTAACTGGAAAATTACATGATATAGTTGTATTAAGATATTTGGAGTTTTTTCGAAAGCGTTACACAAGTATTGCTGAGACCATATATATGTCAGACTTCGCCAAACTTGACACAGTCGCTGGCACGCCTAATCCAAAATATGTTATTAGAAATATGCTAATAAACTTTTTGAGATCTGTATATGATATTTATAAACAACCTGAACGTCTACATAAACTTACTTTCACGTTTCATGATAAACGTGGAAATTTATATAAATTCGAATTTTCTAATGACATGTTTTTCAATGAAGATATTTTGATTCTGTGTTTTATACATTTAATAACTTATCATTCTTCCTATTTTATGTGTGATACAGTGCAAATTCTGAAGGCAGTATTAGAAAATAAGTACGACATAATAAAACATTCTGATGCATTGTCAAATAACGTACAATGTAAAGTGGAAGAACAAGTTACGTTTAATAGTATAGCATACACTTATCCAAGTATATCATTAGATATGACTACTCATCTTAAATTTTTGGGATACTATTTTCAGTCATTTTCAGAGTTTGACGTTCCTAAACAATTTTTTTATTTTCCGATTTCTCTATATTTACCTTTATTAAAAGAATTTCCCCCTATTGCGATGTGCATGCTTGTCTTACTTTATAGAATGAATCATGAACCTAATAACGAATATATTTCATTATATGATGTGTACTGTAATGTGCGTAAGAATTTCGTATGTACATTATTTCCTGAACGTATGAAAATTGAATATTGCGAAAAATGGAAAATTATAATTAAAGATGAAGGTATACATAAGTATTCTCCAAATATTGTAGCATATCGTCAAAAAGCTAAAGACTTAATAGCAAACATAAGATCAAATGATCCAGACTTAAAACGTATACTTTCCATGATATAGCTACCTGTGCAATTTTTTTCTGTGTTAATGGCATGATTTTATTAACGTTACATTGCTTAATATTTGCAAAGACAATTCAAGACTAATAAAAAGTGTATTTGTATTACAATATTTAAAAAATAAGAGTTTGATATATGAATGTATCTTTATTGTATCAAATTTTTTTATTTAATTTACTCATGAACACATAACTTCAGTAATCATTCAGTATCTTTCAATATGAACATATTAATTTATCGCACATTATACACGTTATTATCATGGACGTATCCAGGACTTTTTTTTAATTTAATAATTACAATCTGTAAATTTGCAATTTAATTTTTAATTTAGGAATTTATTTTTCTATACATATATAGAATTATATATATGCATATATATTTATATAGTATATATATATATATATATTTATTTATTATTTACATACATATTTACACATATTATTAAATTATTTAATAATATTATTTATCTATAAATAATAATTAATAAAGTACTTAAAAAATTAAATGCAAATTTAATTATTTTTATGTGTAAGAATATTTCCTCATTTTCTTTAAAAACATAGATTATTTTAATATTGGATATTGTTAAATTATGTTGTTAAAAATATTATATTTTGTATAAGAATATTAATGGTAATAATAATATTATACATAATATTATTTAAATATAACATTAGTAGTATTAGATAATATTAGATGTAACAATCTTAAAATCATCTATTATTTTAAACATATTCTTAGCTTGAGATAATATTATGTAATTGCCATTAAAAAAACCAAATAATTAATTTATGTGATACATTTACATTTTTAAAAATAGCATACATATATGTATATATTATGC